CTCCCCCAGGCCAAGAGCCAAGAGGCAGTTCGTGGGGCTGTCCCTGCAGCCGACGGGGGTGCCTGGCTGACCCCTGCCCCTCTCTGACCCCAGCAAATCCTCAACTGCGCCCTGGACGACATTGAGTGGTTCGTGGCGCGGCTGCAGAAGGCGGCCGAGGCTTTCAAGCAGCTGAACCAACGCAAGAAGGGGAAGAAGAAAGGGAAAAAGGGCCCTGCAGGTGCGGGTCTGGGGTGGTGGTGGTGGTGGGGGGACACAGGGCAGAAGAGCGACAGCAGGGTCATGGGGTGGGGGGAGCGTGGATGGGGGCCACAGGAGTGAGGCTGTGGAGGTCAGGGTGGGGGAACGAAGTGGCCACTGAGCTGGAGGGAGGTCCGGTCTGAGCTGGTGGACTGCATCAAACTGAAGGCAAGACCCACTGAGCGCAGGGCCAGGGCCAGCCATGCTCACGCGACCGCCCCCCACATTGCAGAGGGTGTTCTCACGTTGCGGGCGCGGCCCCCCTCGGAGGCCGAGTTTATTGACTGTTTCCAGAAAACCAAGCTGGCCATCAACCTGCTTGTGAGTCCAGCAGCCCCGCCCCGCCCCGGCCCGTCCTCTGTGCTGACCTTGAGGTCCCCCCACCGGTCTGTTTGCCACCTGCTCATTCCACGCCCTCCTCCCTTCCCCGCCCCCCCTCCAGGCCAAGCTGCAGAAGCACATCCAGAACCCCAGCGCAGCCGAGCTCGTGCACTTCCTCTTCGGGCCTCTGGACCTGGTGCCTGGGCTGGGCGGGCAGGCGTGGGCTGCAGGCGTGGGCGGAGCAGCGGGGCGGGCCTTGCCCCAGGCTGGGGGCGGGGCAAACAAGTGCCCGCCTTGGGCGCCGGCTGGACCGCGCGTCCCCCTCCGAGCCGTGGGCACAGTGGGCTGGCCTGTGGGGCTACAGGGTGGTGGCGGGTCTGGGGGCCCGCGGGCGTGATCCTCTCTGAATCCCACCGTGCCCCAGATCGTGAGCACCTGCGGTGGACCGGACATCGCACGCTCTGTCTCCAGCCCCCTGCTCTCCCGAGAGGCCGTGGGCTTCCTGCGTGGGCACCTAGTTCCCAAGGAGATGACGCTGTGGGATTCATTGGGGGAAACCTGGACACGCCCCCGGTACTGGTCGGGCAGGGCGGCGTGGGGAGGGGCGCAGGGCGGGGTGGGGTGGGGGTCGCAGGCCGGCTGGGGTTCTGGGTGGACCCAACTCACCCCGAACTCCCACCCAGCTCCGAGTGGCCGCGGGAGCCGCAGGTGCCTGTGTACGTGCCCAGGTTCCACAGCGGCTGGGAGCCGCCCCTGGACGTGCTGCAGGAGGCGCCCTGGGAAGTGGAGGGGCTGTCAGCAGCCCCTAGTGATGAGGTGAGANCTTGGGCCAGTGGGGCAACATCCTCCACAACTAGACTGAAGAACAAAACGACAGCAACTTGTCTGTTCCCCTTCTCCCAATTCCCCAGCACTGTTCCCATCCCCCAATTCCCCAATTTAAAAAAAAAAAAGTTATACTTGGATTTTCAACTGTGTGTGGGGGGGTCGGTGTCCCTAACCCCCATGTTGTTCAAGGGTTGACTGTACTTTCTAATGTTCCTTGTGACTTCTTCTCTGACCCATGGGTTATTTAGATCATTCTTTTTTCCCATAGGCATTTACAGCTATGTGTTTCGCCTTGACTGTGCCCACAAATTTTGGCTCGTTGTGTTTCCATTTTCACCCCTCTCTAATTTGTTATTTCCCTTCTGACTTCTCTCACCCATTGGCTGTTTAAAAGCATGTTGTTTAATTTCTAAAAATTTAGACCCATGAGCTATTTAGAAGTGTGTTGTTTAATTTCCAATTATTTGGGGGTTTTCCAGTTATCTTTTTGTCATTGATTTCTAATTTAATTCCAGGACGGCCAGAGAACACACTGTGTAGTTTCACTCATTTGAAATTTCCTGACTTGTTTTGAGCCCAGCAGCGTGGTTTTGTTTGGGCTGAGCTGGTCATGTTGTGTTTTGCTAACAACGTGTATGTCGGGTTTTACCCTGCTTCCCAGACAGATTGGTTGCCTGATACCCCATTGTGCGTTTCTGTCCACTTTCCTCTCTAACCTGTTGATGGACACGTAGGTTGGGCCCAGCCTTTATCTCACGGCTCTGCAGTGAGCAGCCTTGCATGTGTGCCACGTTTGGCACATGTGCAGGAACAAGGACTTGTTAGTACTGGTCAGTAGATGAGGTAACAATTTCAATGGTTGATTTATTCCTAAAGTAATGGTCTCAGAGTTTCAATGTGCAGATCTTTTATTCAGTGAGATTGCATACAGTTTTCTATATTAAAAAGTTACCTGAATTTATTTTCCTGTAGACTCTCTGTTCATATCTTTTGCCAAGTTTGCCGTTGGGGTGTTACTCTATTACTTATTTACATATTTTATTTATTACATGTTTATCTGTTTGTTTATTATCGGTATCTTCAATTATCATATTTAACAAAATAGAGCTTTTAACAAAGTAAGAACCATTGTAATGCATATTGATATTTTTATATATTAAGAAAATTAGCTTTCATCATATCTATCGTATCTGTTTTTCCCGCTTTTTTTTTTTTTACTTTGTATATGGCATTTTTTTCCCCAGGCAGAAATATTTATATTTTTATTTCATCAAATTTATTGGTTTTATTTTGAATATCTGGAATCTTGCTTAGGAAAGTCCCCTTGTGAAGAAGGCCTTTCTGTGATCGAAAATCATCCAGTGTTTTCATGTGTTTTATGGTTAAGTCTTAAGCCTGGAGTTTGTGTTGGTGTTTATCTGACTGCCCCAGCACTGTTTACCGAATTCAGCCAAGACTCATGGGGAGAGGGGTGGCCAGACTTGGGAGAGGAAGGAGAAGGGGAGGGCCCTGGGAAGGGCTGGGCTGGTGAGGGTCCCTGCATATTCCCTGAGGGTCTGCTGTGTGCCCAGCACTGTCCCAGCTCTGGGGAGACAGCAGTGAAGCCAGCAGCCAGAATCCCTGCCCTCACGCACTGAGCACAAAGGACATCACACAGCGTAATGCCGGCTCATGATACATTAAACACCACGGGCAGCTCGGTGTGGTGACAGAAGTGCTGTAGCTGGGTGGTC